AGGAGGAATTAAAATCAGGAATGTAAGGAAACTTTTGTAAAAGATTAGGATAAAGGAGGACAGGGAGATCAGACAAATAAATGTGAGAAATATAAATACAAGTAAAGGAACACCGTAGAAATAAGTATGAGAAATATAAATAAAGGAAGATCAGAAGTAACTATGAGGAATATGGATATAAATGTGAGAATTAGAACTACAAATATGTGTGAGAATTATAAATACAAATATATATGAGAAATACAGATACAAATATATGAGAATTATAAATACAAATAAATATGAGAATCAAAAATACAAATAAATATGAGAATCAAAAATACAAATAAATATGAGAATCAAAAATACAAATAAATATGAGAATCAAAAATACAAATAAATATGAGAATCAAAAATGCAAATAAATATGAAAATTTTAAATACAAATAAATAAGAGATACAAAAATGCAAATATAAGAAAGCTGACTACTCACAGCAAACAGAGCAGGCCCCATGTAAGTCTCCATATACTGATAATAAAGGGACATTATCTTCACCAGGTTCTGTAAGGCAGCCACTCGTACCTTTGGGGCAAAAAAGGGATTTTTAAACACAATTCTGGTTATTTTACCTGGGTTTGGGTATCAGAGGTTCCCCCCCAGCTGCCCCAGGAAGGTGCAGGGGCAAACCAAGCCCTGAATTCACTCACCCTTGTATCTGGACACTGTGTTGCTTCACAGACTACTTGCATAATAAAGTGCCTTTCAGACTAGAGAAAAGAGAGCAAAAAGAACATTAGAAGTGGCTTTACAAAAGCACTGGAGGCTTCCTGGGGAGGCTGAGTTTGAGCCTGGCCTGGCCCAGTCCCTCCTGCAGCACTTCTGAAGATCCAGGGACAGCCCAGGGCACTCACTGCACTATTTTAAACCATTTCTACCCCAAAGGGGGAATCCCAGGCTTTCCTTTGCAAGGGTTCAACTTCAACTGTCTTAAAATAAAAAGGGCTGTCTTTAAAATAAAAAGCGAAATAAAGACTCAGTTTTTCAGGGAAAGCAGCAAAAAAAGAAATTCCTGCTGTTCCCTATTTTCAGCAGTTTCTTCCCGAAAATTCCAGTCAGGACATCGATTTCTCGGGGGGGGCAGCACCTGGATTCCCACTTTTTGGCAGGAAGGGACAGATTTATTTATTATTATTGTTATTTGACAGGTTATTTAACAGGACTGAGCCCACAGAAACGGAGCCTGAATGGATCAGGCACCTCCCATCCCCAATTTTGGAAGGTTCAGCTGATCCCCCATCAACACCCACCGAGGATTTTAGGGAGAGGTTTCCACGAAAAGCCCCTCTAAGCTGGAGGTTCAGCATTAATCCCACCTTCCCCACACTGTCCCCTGGCAGAGAACTAAAGGATAAGTCTTAAGTTGAGAAGGAAAAGACAAAATCAATGGGTTTGGCTGCTCTGCAAAGAGGCTCATCCCGAGGTTGGACTTTTCCTCCCCCAACGATTTCCAGAGGCCAAGTTAAACCTGGATGGGAGCCACAAGCACTTGAAAGGAAGTGCTGATCCAAGCTGGTCCTGGATCAGGAAAGCAGAGCATCCAACAGGCTCAGCTCTAAGGTCAGTTCAACTTTATTCCCTCCCTTCCCAAAAAAAAAAAACCCAAATGCTTCCTCGGCACCAAAAATTTCCACGGGATTTTTTAGAGGTGAATCCAAGTCTCAGCCAGAACAGGATTATCCATCAAAACTCAGCGTGGTGCATGATTCCTCATCACAGACCGTGGATTCAGCCCCGGGATCTGAGGCCAAGGGGGTGTTTTCCCTCCTCACCTCTTTGTCAAAGTTTGCTTTGGTGAATTCCAAAGAGTTCAGGAGTGCGTTCGTGGCCGCCAGCTTGACGTTGTTGCTGGGCTCTTCCTTCCTCATTCCCTGGATGATGGCTGTCAGGATCTCGTTGGATTTGTCCTGGAGCTGCTCTGGATCCTGGGAAGAAGTTTCCATGAAGTTATTTGTCACCTTAACAGTTTTTTTTTCCATACATTGAGTACCCCCTGAACTCAAGTCTACAAGTTTTAGGACATTTTGCTCCAAGCTCAATCCTGATATCTACAACTTTTAGGACGTTTTTCTCCCTGGAAAATCCAAGGAATTCCTACACCAGAACACCTTTGCTGCTTTTGGGATGAGGAGGAGACTGAAGTGAGCACAAAAACTCCATAAATGCAAAGCCAAATTAATCTCACTGTATCAAACATAAGCCAACAAGCTCCAGGACTTGACTTTGCTCACCCAGAACGTTAAAAAACCACTGATTTCCAACTAATTTATGGACTGGGCAGAGCTCTACTTTTACTGGTAAATTTGCCAATATTTTTTAGGCATAACAGCAAAAAAAATGCACTGCCTGGAGCAGCAGCAAGGGCAGGAAACTGTTAAATCACTGTTAAACACTCAAGGCTTAGGGAATAAAGCTGTGAATACACACTAAAGATTCATTTTTCTTCGTGGCAAAATCAAGTCTGCAGGACCCACAAGTAACTGGGTGAATTGTTACATCAGGATTTATCCAGCAGAAAAATTTAAAGATTCTCAAACTATGGTCACAAAACTATAAAACTCTAAAAGGGGGGATCTTATAAAATAAATATAAAATGGGAAATACCCAACCAGCAAGGCAGGGCACCCAAAAATCCAGAGGTTAGTGATCCATTCCACCCAAAAAAACCAAGGAACAGCCCCTCCAGAGTTGCAGGGACTTGTCACAAACAGATTTCCTCTTTTATTTCACTTTTCTCCCCAGTGAAACCAACCCCTTGAAGCCAAATAAAAGCCCCAAACAAAAGATTTCCCCTCCTGCCTCACTCCAGAGAGATTCCAGCAGGGACACAAGTTCTCCAGGACATTCAGTGGCACCAAAAGAGCAGCTGCTAATTCCAGTTTTCAGCAGCAAGACACAGTTTTCCAACCAATTCCCACCAGGTCCTGCAATCCCTGGATAAACCCACAGGAGGTGCCTCCAAGAGCTCAACATTCCTGCATCAAAAATTCCTGAATTACCAACAAAGGGGGTTTCCCTACCAATATGAAGGTCAGGTTTTCCCAAACCAGGAAGGCATCAAACACTGATCCCTGTTTTATCCCTGGTTTTATCCAACGTTTGGATGCTGAGCTGGAGTTTTCCCCCGGCCTCGTGTGACCTCAGGGACACGGAGTCTTAAATCTTCCCTTTAGGAAAGATGACCTGGATTTGGGCTGGGAAAGCAGGTCAGTCCTTCCAGGCACCATCCCTGGGTTTACTCCCACAGTTCTGCCAGCAGGATTAGGAACAGACAGCACAGGGAAGCACCAACAGCCTCCTGGATATGGAATCATGGAATGCCTAAGGCTGGAAAAGCCCTCCAAGATTGTCGAGTCAGAGAATCATGGAACACCCCGAGCTGGGAGGGATCCATGAGGATCATCCAGTCCAACTCCTGGTCTTGCACAGGACATCCCAAAATCCCACCCTGTCCCTGAGAGCGTTGTCCAAACATTCCCTGAGCTCCGGCAGCCCTGGGGCCGTGACCAAACCCTGGGGAGTTCCAGTGTCCAACCAACTTCTAGGGGAAGAACCTTTCCCAAAATCCAGCCTGAATCCCTCCTGACACTGCTTCAATCCCAACCACAGGCAGGTGAAAGGAAGAGAAAAGGTGCTGGGAAGACCTTGGGAGCAAAATCCTCACGGAAATGCTTCAACCAGCACCCTTGGACTCTGACAGGATTGGGGTTGGTGGAGTTCTGGTATCCTTCATCCTCTGAGGGAAGAAGTTTGTCCTAAAATCCAACCTAAACATCTCTGACACAGCTTCAAGCCCAACCACAGGAAGGAGAAAGGAGAAGAAGAGGTGCTGGGAAGACCTTGGGAGCAAAATCCTCATGGAAATTCTTCAACTTGGAACTCTGGCAGGGCTCCAGGAGTTCCTGTGTCCAACCACCTTCTAGGGAAGAACCTTTCCCAAAATCCCCCCTGACACAGCTTCAATCCCAACCACAGGAGGGAAAAAGGAAGAGAAGAGGTGCTGGGAAGACCCTGGGAGCAAAATCCTCATGGAAATTCTTCAACCAGCACCCCTGGAACTCTGACAGGGTTGGGGAGTTCCTGTGTCCAACTACCCTCTGGGGGAAGAAGCTTTCCAAAAATCCAGCCCCAGTCCCCTGACACAGCTTCAATCCCAACCACAGGAGGGAGAAAGGAAGAGAAGAGGTTCTGGGAAGACCCTGGGAGCAAAACCCTCATGGAAATTCTTCAACCAGCACCTCCTGGAGCTCTGGCTGTGACCAAACCCTGGGGAGTTCCTGTGTCCAACCACCTTCCAGGGAAGAACCTTTCCCAAAATCCCCCCTGACACAGCTTCAATCCCAACCACAGGAGGGAGAGAGGCAGAGAAGAGGTTCTGGGAAGACCCTGGGAGCAAAATCCTCATGGAAATTCTTCAACTTGGAGCTCTGGTAGGGCTGGGGAGTTCCTGTGTCCAATCACCTTCTAGAGGAAGAACCTTTCCCTAGAAAGGTTCTAGGGAAACCTAGAACCTAAAAATCCAGCCCCAATCCCCTGACACAGCTTCAATCCCAACCACAGGAGGGAGAGAGGCAGAGAAGAGGTTCTGGAGAGACCCTGGGAGTAAAATCCTCACAGAAATTCTTCAACTTGGAGCTCTGGCAGGGCTGGGGAGTTCCTGTGTCCAACCACCTTCTAGGGGAAGAACCTTTCCCAAAATCCAGCCCCAATCCCCTGACACAGCTTCAATCCCAACCACAGGAGGGAGAGAGGAGGAGAAGAGGTTCTGGGGAGACCCTGGGAGCAGAATCCTGCCGGGAATGCCCCGGAGCAGGGGTGCACTCACGATGTCCTGGCAGATGTAGCCGATGGCCTCCAGCGTGGACTCTTTCATGTGCTCGGTGCTGTGCTGGTTGGTGACGTTGGCCACCAGCTGGGGGATGAGCTCTGGCCACTGGTTCATGGGAATTTCGGCGCAGGCGATCCCGGCCACGCACTGGGAAGCGGAGCTGGGCCGGTAGGTCTCCGTTCCCAGGGTCTGGAGCACCTGGAATGGGGCAGGGAAGGGTTTAGGGCAGGGACAGGCGAGCCCTGCCCGTCCCAAATCCTTCCCAGCAGAGCAGTTGGCTCGTTCTGCTTCCTGCTGCAAACATTTCAAAGAGGGAAACGAGGCTGGAGAGGAACATTCCCAATGGGAAGTGGGATCCAGCTGTGATTCCAACACATCCTTTAACTCTGGGAACAGCCCGTGTGCCACAGCACAGCAAGGGCTCAAACAATCCCTCCCCACTCAGAAAGAGAAATCATAAAGCAAAAATTATTAATATCACTATCAAATTATTATTTAAAAATCACTACAAAGCAAAATTATTGTTATCAGTTACAATTATAAAGAGAAAGTGAAATTATTATTATTTAAAATTATAAAGACAAAGCAAAATTGTTATTAATATTAGTTAAAATTTATAAAGACAAAGCAAAATAATAATTATTATTAGTTAAAATTTATAAAGACAAAGCAAAATAATAATTATTATTAGTTAAAATTTATAAAGACAAACCAAAGTTGTTATTATTATTAGTTAAAATTTATAAAGACAAAGTAAAATAATAGTTATTATTAGTTAAAATTTATAAAGACAAAGCAAAATAATAGTTATTATTAGTTAAAATTTATAAAGACAAAGTAAAATAATATTTATTATTAGTTAAAATTTATAAAGACAAACCAAAATTGTTATTATTATTAGTTAAAATTTATAAAGACAAAGTAAAATAATAATTATTATTAGTTAAAAGTATAAAGACAAAGCAAAATTATTATTATTATTAGTTGAAATTACAAAGATAAAGCAAAATTATTATGATTAGGTAAAATTATAAAGACAAAGTAAAATAATAATTATTATTAGTTAAAATTTACAAGGACAAAGTAAAATTGTTATTATTAGTTAAAATTATAAAGACAAATTATTAAAGTTATTATTATTAGTTAAAATAAAAAATTATTATTGTTATTATTATTAGTTAAAATTATAAAAACAAAGCAAAATTGTTATTATTATTATTAGTTAAAATTATAAAGACAAATTATTGTTGTTGTTGCTGTTGTTATTATTATTACTAAAATTATAGTAGAGCAAATTAACAAAACAGAAATTGGGGGTGAAATCCCTGCCCAAGCACCAATTATTTTTTCTGCCAAAATAATCTACAGAACCATTCAGATGAACAATTTCCTTTCACGTTGCAATCAATCAGAATGATTTTTTGGGTATTCTTCCATAACTCTTTTTTTTCAGGAAAACCAGAGGGATCCCACTGCTCACATCCAAGCATCGTTTTCCTCCCATCAGCCAAAAAAAACCACTGAGCCCCCACTTCTGTCACTGCAAACCCCCAAACTTTAACCATCAGAGAGCTCAGGGGTCCTCAGGCAAACTCCCCAAATTTAAGCATCTAATTTTCTATTTGGGACTTGCAATTTTTTACCATATTCTACTCTGAAAACTCCTTTTAACTCTGTGGTCAGGCACTGACTGTGCTTCCAGGATGGGGATGGGATTGTGAAACACCTCAGGAAGCTGTTCCTTGGAAAAGGAGGAAAAACCTGCCCTGAGGGGGGTTTTCTTTGGAAAAAAAATCAAAGCAAAGAGTTGCAGAGGAGGAGCCACGGAATCATGGAATGGTTTGGGTGGGAAGGGACCTTAAAATTCACCCAGTGCCACCCCCTGCCATGGGCAGGGACACCTTCCACCAGCCCCATCCATCCTGGCCTTGGACACTTCCAGGGATCCAGGGGCAGCCACAGCTTCTCTGGGCAACCTGTGCCAGTGTTTTATAACATCCTCCTTGGAAAAACTTCCTTCTGCCTCATCCAAATCAATTCTGCACCTTAAAAACCATCGCCCCCTTTTCCTCTCAGAATTCCAGAATATCCTGAGCCGGAGGGGACCCCCAAGGATCACCCAGTGCCACCCCAAAATCCCCCCCTTGTCCCTGAGAGCGTTGTCCAAACAATTCCTGAGCTCTGGCAGGTTTGGAGCCGTGACATTCCCAGGGAATTCCAGCGCCCAACCACCCTCTGGAGAAAGAGCCTTGCCCTGATTTCCCCCCAATACTGGTGTGGAATGAACATCCCACAGGAAGCACCACAAGTGCAGATGCTGCTGCTGTTGCTCCAACAGGAGATTTTGCAGATGGAAAAAGGATGGAAAACACATTCCAAGGCCAGAGAACCCCCCAAAACCCCGACACTCACGTAGTTCTTGACCTCCCTGCGGGCGTTGGCGTCGATGGCCAGCCATCTCTGCTGGTACTGGGCCTTGATGTCGGGATCCTTGGAAGTCAGGGAATTCTTGATCTGCAGCCCCGCTGCCACTCGAGCCACTTGGCTGTTCCCGGGATTTGCCAGCACTCTGGACAGTTCCACCAGGAAGGTCGGCTGGGGACACAGAGCAGGGTCAGTCCCCGACCCACAGAGCTGGGGGAGAACCCCCCCTGAGCCTGGGAGCCCCCAGGAACACCCTCCAGGAATAGCCCTCAGGAACATCCTCCAGGAACAGCCCTCAGGAGTAGCCCCCAGGAACACCCTCCGGGAATAGCCCCCGGGAACAGCCCCCGGGAACAGCCCCCGGGAACAGCCTCTGGGAACAGCCTCTGGGAACAGCCCCCAGGAACAGCCCCCAGGAACAGCCCCCAGGAACAGC